GAGCCGTGTGGGAGCGTGTCCAGCTCCCGTGGTGTGAGCCGTGTGGGAGCGTGTCCAGCTCCTGTGTGAGAGCCGTGTGGGAGCGTGTCCAGCTCCCGTGGGGAGAGCCGTGTGGGAGCATGTCCAGCTCCCGTGGGGAGAGCAGTGTGGGAGCGTGTCCAGCTCCCGTGGGGAGAGCCGTGTGGGAGCGTGTCCAGCTCCCGTGGGGAGAGCCGTGTGGGAGCGTGTCCAGCTCCCGAGTCCCTGTGCTTCTGCAGCTGCTGTTGGAGGCTCGCCCCTTGGGGGCCGACCTATCGGGTGCTGCTCATGTCACTTGCCACCTTGTAGAGCCGAGGCCTTGTGCTGTGGTGTGGTGTCTGGGGAGCAACCACTTGTTTCTTTTGTGCAAAGCTTGTGGAGAAAGCACTGGTCAGCTAGGCGTTGAACCCAGGTGTTACCAGCTGCTTTGAGCTGCTGCTTCTGGGGCGCTGCATGTGCCCCGGCCAGCCTCACACCTGTGCCTTTGGCCGCTCTCCTGGGTGAGGTGGGAGGCAGGCTGGAGCTCAGCCCTGCCTCTGAGACTCCTGGCCTGGGGTGCACGGAAACCGCAGCTGGCTTGGCTGGCTGGGGGCTGGAGGCCCTGGGACTCCAACTCAGGCTCTCTCTGCACCTCCTGGGTGCTGCTGCCTCCCCCACGGGGGCCAGGTGGCCCGCTGGGTGCTCTGGTGCCACCACCGGCAGTGCCGTGCTATCTGGAGGCAAGGTCTTCAGAGTCAGTCTCTGGAAAGCTGTGGCCAGCTGCCCTCAGCCCTGCAGGGTGCCCCTGGCAGACAGGGCAGAGGGCAGCCCCCTTCCGCTGTGGTGTCAGCAGCCACCCTTCTCTGGAAGGAGCAAGCACCTGCCACTTTGGGGTGGACAGCACGTGCATCCTGGGATGTGTGCCTGTGCCTCGCCCGCACTGGGCAGGTAGAGTCCTCCCACCTCCGGGGCACGAGATCTGCTGGCCGGGCGCTCCGTCGGCCAGCCGCCTGCCATGTGGCCTGTCCAGATGCGGTGGAGGGCTCTTGGTCCTGGGCTCTCTGGTGTCTCCCAGTGCGGTTATCCACAGTGTGGCTGTGCCATCTAGAAGACCCTGGGCTGAGCGTCTCCAAAACCTAGGTAGCTACCATCCCTTGTCTTGCCATTTTCTTAAACAATAAGATTTTAATTTTGGAACAGCTCTGGATTTAACAAACGATTGTACAGATGGTTCTGAGAATTTCTGAACACCGCCCTGCCTCCACGTGAGTGTGTGTCACGCACGGCTGGTGGCCTGCCAAGATCTCCTTCAAGTCTCCGCAGTGTTTTGATGTCTTGGGTGTCCCTGCCATTCTGTGCATTCCTGCCCCCGTGTGGCCTCTGTGCCTTGTAGCCTCTGGCTGCTCTGTACTCCGTCACACACCTCCGGCTTCTGCTGGGCCCCTGCAGTTCAGCTGCGCTATCTGTGGTCCACGCACAGGGCTCAGCTGCACCTGCACATGTGCCTGTGGGGCCTTTCCCTGCAGCCATCCTGCCTGGGGGTTCCAGGTGCTGGTGCCGGCCAGCTCCAACTTGGGTGGTGGAGGAAGGCCCATGAGGACAGGCAGGTGACTCCCTATACACACATACGGGGATTATACACACAGGCAAACAGCTGCCTCTGCACACTCGAGTCTCCACCTGCAGAGCCCCCCTGTGCACACAATCAGTAATCCCGGGTGCACACTCAGAACACAAGGGTGCTCACACTCAGAGTCCCCCCTGTGCACACAATCAGTAATCCCAGGTGCACATCAGAACACAAGGGTGTGCACGCTCAAGAGTCCCCCTGTGCACACTGAGCGTCCTTATGTGCACACTCATCCCCCATGTACACAGAACCCCATGTGCACATGGAGCCCCCATGTGTACACACTCAGAGTCCCCTCTGTGCACATTGAGAGTCCCCGTGTGCATACTCAGAATCCCCTGTGCACACAATCAGTAATCCCGGGTGCACACTCAGAACACAAGGGTGTGCATGCTCAGAGTCCCCCCTGTGCACACAATCAGTAATCCTGGGTGCACACTCAGAACACAAGGGTGTGCATGCTCAGAGTCCCCCCTGTGCACACAATCAGTAATCCTGGGTGCACACTCATCGAGTCCCCCCTGTGCACACTGAGAGTCCCCGTGTGCATACTCAGAATCCCTTGTGAACACTCATCCCCCTGTGCACACTGAGCATCCTCATGCATACTCATCCCCCGTGCACACAGAACCCCATGTGCACATGGAGCCCCATGTGTACACGCTCAGAGTCCCCCTGTGCACACTGAGAGTCCCCGTGTGCATACTCAGAATCCCTTGTGCACACTCATCCCCCTGTGCACACAGACCCCATGTGCACACTCAGAGCCCCCATGCATAGAGTCCCCCCTGTGCACACTCAGCCCCCTGTGCACAGAGTCCCCCATGTGCACACTCAAGAGCCTCCCGTGCAGAGTCCCCCATGTGTACACTCAGCTTCCCATGCACAGTCCCCCATGTGCACACTCAGAGCCTCCCGTGCACACTGAGTCCCCCATGTGCACACTCAGAGCCTCCCGTGCACACTGAGTCCCCCATGTGCACACGCAGCCTCCCATGCAGTCCCCCATGTGCACACTCAGAGCCCCCTGTGCACACTGAGTCCCCCATGTGCACACTCAGAGCCTCCCGTGCACATTGAGACCCCATGTGCACACTCAGAGCCCCCGTGCACAGAGACCCCATGTGCACACTCAGCCCCCTGTGCACAGAGTCCCCCATGTGCACACTCAGAGCCCCCGTGCACAGAGTCCCCCATGTGCACACTCAGCCCCCCGTGCACAGAGTCCCCCATGTGCACACTCAGAGCCTCCCATGCACACTGAGTCCCCCATGTGCACACTCAGAGCCCCCGTGCACACTGAGTCCCCATGTGCACACTCAGAGCCCCCTGTGCACATTGAGTCCCCCATGTGCACACTCAGAGCCTCCCATGCACACTGAGACCCCATGTGCACACTCAGCCCCCATGCACAGAGACCCCATGTGCACACTCAGCCCCCTGTGCACACTGAGTCCCCCATGTGCACACTCAGAGCCTCCCGTGCACAGAGTCCCCCATGTGCACTCAGAGCCTCCCATGCACAGTCCCCCATGTGCACACTCAGAGCCCCCGTGCACTGAGTCCCCCATGTGCACACTCAGCCCCCCGTGCACACTGAGTCCCCCATGTGCACACTCAGAGCCTCCGATGCACACTGAGTCCCCCATGTGCACACTCAGAGCCTCCCGTGCATACTGAGTCCTCCATGTGTACACTCAGAGCCCCCATGCACACACTCAGCCCCCCATGCACATGGAGCCCCCCATGTGCACACTCAGGCTCCTCCCCCCATGCACACAGAGTCCCCCATGTGCACTCAGAGCCCCCGTGCACAGAGTCCCCCATATGTACACACTCAGAGCCCCCGTGCACACTGAGCCCCCCATGTGCGCACTCAGGCTCCCCCTTCCCTCCCCCGTGCACACGGAGTCCCCCTGGAGCCCCCTGTGGTTGGGCCACAGCCCAGGTGCTGCTTGCCCCCTAGTGGCTGTGGAGATGACACCCCGTGCCTGTCTAGGCCAGTGCCGATCGTGGGGGCCTCTGGGACCCTCTGGGTGCTGGAGCCTGTCTGGAGGGTGGACTGAATGGTTACCTGCTTGGTGGCACTTCAGTTCCGTCTTGGGTATTTCCGTGTGAGGCTAGGTGGGCCTGGGTTTGGGGCAGCTGTTAAGGGAGGCAGGCGGGTAGGCCATGGCCAGGGCTGCCATAGGCCTGTGTTTGGCCAGTGTCCTCTTAGGACTTCTGTCTGGCTTTTTCCCGACAGGCTTGTCCCTCAGATCTCTTGGTCTCCCTGCTTTATGGAGCCCACTCTGGCCACTAAGGCTGCACTTGCCACCCACTGCTGCTGGGATGTGTCCTCAGCCCTGCCACCTGGTGGAGAGTGCCCCTGGCTCTGGCAGGCCTCACTGACCACATGAAGGGGAGTAGACGTCATCTGTGCCCACAGCATTGAGGAATTGACTCTTCGGTGTCGGGTCCAAGGCATCATCCAAACCTGTCTGTGGAGAGTCCTGCCAGGGCCTCTGTGTACATCAAGCCCCCTCCCTGGCCCCTTTCCTGCAGCATAGACACGTCTGCCTTTAAGTTGTTTCTGGAGAGGTCAGTGATGGGCAGGGAGAGCCAAGGCTGCGTCCTGGGCCCCTGGGGTCCCAGCTCTGCTCTCTGTCTTCTGCTCTCAAGAACACCGCACAGGCGATGTTGGGTTTCCTCTCATTGAGGTATGGGCCAACCAGACCTTCTGTCAGAGGTCTGAGAGCGGGTGTGGCCTGAGAAGACCTGGCTAGGACACCTGTGTCAACCCATCTTCTCCAGGTCTGGGGCTGGCACCGGCTCTCCTTCCTCCTTCCTCATGCCTGCCCAGCCTGGTCCCTGGTCAGCCACCTTGCTGCCACTCTGCCCCCCCCCCCCCGCCCCTCACCTGCTGATGTCACACATTGGATGCAGTAGAATTCACTCGCTGGTGAAGTGTGTCTTGGTCCTGCTTCTGCCGGTGCATACTGCTAGGGCTGCAAGGTTTGTGTGGCTGTGCACCTGTGCCTTCTGGGCTCTGCTGGAAGCGTGCTCCAAGGGTGAGACTGTGCCCAATCTGACTGAGCTGAGGATGCTATCCCCATCTGCCTGCTCACTCTGTTGGCTGAACAAACCAGGTGTCTGCCCTGACGTGGGGGGAAGGATCAGGGCGTGTGGAAGCTGCTCATCCCCTGGCAGAGGTCCAGGTTGCTGCAGGTCTGCTGTCTGAGCAGTTCAAGTGGCATTTCCAGCTTTGCCTCCCTCCTTGTGGCAGCTGATATCAAGTGTTAGCCAATATGGACTGGCCCTGATTAGCCTTGGACGTTGATGAATGTGTAAGTTCCGACAAGTGTTGAGCTGAGGGGTGAGCAGTGGATGGATGTGTGAGAGGTGGTCCAGCAGCCTGGCCCAGGCTTCCAGGCTCTTCTCCTCCTGCTTGCCGGCTGCCCTCTGAGGAAAGCCGGGCTGGGCCCTGTGCTGGTGCCCGCCTGGGTGGGGGTACCCTTGTCGCGGTGTCCGCAGCGAGCCCTGTGTGTGGCCTCCTGAGCTGGCTGGTGTTCTGGGAGCAGTGGAGGCTTGTGCTTGAAACAGGAAGAGGCTGAGGGACGGTCTTCCAGAAGGAGGTGACCCCACGCAGTGTATGCTGCGTGTGTTCTGCTGAGTCACCAGAGGCCAGACA